ATCACATGTATTATCACAATTATTATTTACATTTAAACCAAATAAATTAAAAAATATTTTATAACCTTCTTTTGGATCATTACTCGCTCACATTGTACTTTAGTCTATTTTCTCACTGGTTAGTTCCTTCAAAAGCTTCTATTTCATTCAATTTGTCTTTAGTCCATACCAGGCATGCAACCATCCCAAGCTAGGATCGGTTTTATCGAAATTATAGCAGTTCTAGTTAAAGCAGTTGAAATTTATAAAGGTTATCATCCTAGAAATATACAATTAATTCCATTAGCATTATTTTTAAATTCAAATAAATCAGATAAAGGTAGATTAGCTAAAATTTCAACTGGTGAAGGTAAATCACTTATAACTACAATGGTTGCAACATCCTATGCATTTCTATATTGGTGAAAAAGTTGACATAGTTACTAGTTCAAAAATATTAGCACAACATGATGCGAGTAATGATCCAAAAGAAGGTTATAAAATATTTTTTAATTTATTTGGTTTAAATGTAAATAATAATTGTGATAATACATGTGATGATTCAGATACTGGTGAAAATGAACATAAAGAACGATATTTAAATAATGAAATTATTTATGATAAAACTAGTTATTTTCAACGTGATATTTTATTAAAAAATTTTTTTGGTGAAAAAATATGTGAAAAAGTTGTAAATACTGTAATTGTTGATGAAGTTGATAATATGATTATTGATAATGCTACAACAAACATTATATATATATCACATAATATAATTGATATGCGTTATTTAAGAGATTTATCTATACAAATATGAGTTCATGTTTATAATAAAATTGAACAATATTATAATGAAGAGAATGTTGAAAAAAATAAGAGGTTATATTTCGAAACTGATTGAAAATAATGATATAAAAGTACTATTAATACTTAATGGATATATAAAAGAAAATTTAAATATATGGATTAAAAAGGAAGTGGCTATGTGTGCCCAGGTGTGCATAGCTATCCGACTATGTGCACCCCGACCATCATAATAAACGAATTACCAAAAATTAAGTTATATTATAGTCTTAAATATACTTGATTATTAACATATAATGCCTTAACTTAATTGTTGTAATTTTACTTTATTAATTCTTTAT